CTGATGAAGGCGGACATGTGAATTATTCAATTCTCCATAAAAATTAATTTTATGAAATTGAAGATAAAACAGTCCTATTATTTCACGAATAAACTAGTGCAGTATGTTAAGCACTTTTTTTCAGCACACTGAAATTTTGTTTAATTGATAATGATGTAATTAGGGCGGAAAGCGAGCGAGAGTGACTGACTTCAACTAGTGTTGCTCTACCCTAACTAACTAGTTCCGCGTTTGACCCTAGCTGATTGCAATCTATCCAACCGACGGGTGACATAATTTCGTCTGGGACACGTACACAGATAAACCGCGGTCTGTGAGTTGGCGGCGCACAATCTGAAACCTGTGCTCGCTCACGCGTTATTTTTTCTTCTCTGTTTACTATCGACTGCAAAAAGTCTAGGGTTGTACTCCACGGGACAATAGTGATTTGGTCGACTCAACACACAAAATCGTGATTTTGTGTGTTTGCATAACATAACAATAGCTTTGTCAGTAGTTTTTTTTAAATTTCTCTGATCATCATACTGATAACCTATTTGTAGTACATTCAGTTATGTGAAACTTCCTTTATTTGTCAAAATAAATTCAAATATTCCCACTGACGCATAAGAACGAGAAATTACTTCGGAATATATTGCTTCATACGTTTACATATATAGTTCGATTAGCAAAAAGATGGATACAAGGCCTGAGCTGATGTTGAATGAACGTGTCTGTGCGCAGTGTTCAGTTGACAACACAGTACCACACTAAAGGATTACGTAAGAAGATCCTACCAACTGCGAATTCCATAGCAAATAGGATCATGAGACCGGGGTTGTGCAAGCGACTTAATCCGGTTCAACCTTTGCTGTTACCATGGGTATAAAAGAGAGTGCCCTATATTCATATGTGAAACCCATTCCACCCTCACCCCTACTCTCCTCGTTTCCTCACACATCTCACCTATCGCATTCATTCTTGACTAACATATTTCATATCGTGCCCACTTCCCACTTCTACCTTGCTTTTTCCTATCCATTTATCGCAATCCAATAAATTGTTATAAACCGAACACTGCACCCATACATATTCCTTCAACATCAGCCTAGGTCTTCGATTAATCTATTTACTGATAGAAGCATATATATTCAATTTTCTGAAACGATATATCGAAAAGAAATTCCTTCGCGTTTCCACTTTGTTCTTTTAAAAGTAGAATAAAGCAGCAATTTCTGAATATTCCTTCTAAAGCGTATACAACATTCTGGATCATAACTATCACAACAAAGAAGGCACCACGGTTTCCAGTCTGGAAGTGGTCAGTTGGGAACACGAGTGGCGTTTTCTGAATATTTTCTCCCAACCTTACCGACTGCGTGTACCAGTTGTGACTTGATCCGTTGTTCGGGTTACGTCATGTAGAAATAGTTGAAAAATGGTCGGGTTTTGGAAAAAACATTTTTGTTGTGCATCAGGTGACTAATCACTTATACCGTGACCATTTTTTTGGAATTTTCTGTGAATGACTCCGGAGCAAATGTTTATGACAAGATCTATACAATGGAGTTTCTAAGTTGAACCCTAAAGGTGGAAATTGGAAGTATACTGTTAGAAGATTAAATCGGCATGGCGGTGCATGTAACAGTTTGATTAAGTAATCGATTTGCTTTACCGCAAGGATTCATACTCTACCCACCACTTCGAGCTTGAACGTCACCGTGTTCAAATTACTACTGTGCATTTGACCCAGAAGTTGCAAGTAGAACGGTGAAATATGGGAATTTCGGACGATCAATTTTATTAGCAATAGGTGAACGATTCTTCGGTTCAAAGTTGGCTCGTAATAACTTCAGTAGTAACGATACAAGCAAGTGCATGGGTATTAAATGTCGATTCTAATTTGGTGTTTTTGAGAGTCGAAAAAATAAATTTCTCCCTTAAGAATGGGAGTTGAAATAAGGTTTTCCCGTATCCCGAACTGTAACGTATGTTTTATTTGCGGTACTATAAAGCCCAATCCGTGTGTCAAGACACACTCAAAGAATGTCTTTATTAGTATCATTTTTAAAATGGTTATTCACGTCAGAGTAGAATTTTATTGCCTACTCAGAAGTGGTCCACTTCTCAAAAAGTAAGATTAGTTGTCTGAGTACCTTGGTGACCACAGAGCATGGATTACACGGATTGACTTCTTTGTGATCTCTCTGAATTAAAGCGACTCATATCTGGACCAAGTGGTCACCGTATGGTTCTTTAAATAGGATGATTTGGAAACCACGATTCGGTTAAAGCACATCTAATTGGCGTTACGAATATTTGCCTCCACAAATGATAACATAGTCAGTAAATTCAGATGCTTGGGGTATCAAATCAACTTGTTCTAGCATCATTTCAGGCTGTCCCGTTTGAACTGATTGGAGATACCAGGCACACGGACTGTACAAGCCCCGGCGCTGTCCGGCTGATCGCAATTCAGTGAAGCTCCTGTCCAACGGGGTGGATGGGTGGGTGGCGTAGGAGGAGAGTGTTGTGATCTACTTCCCGTAAATCTCACGGTACATCTGTTTTCCAACCTGTACTTACGCGTACAAGTTTGCATGTGTGTGTGTGTGTGCGTTTGTTTCCCTTTACCTTAAAAACAAAATACGAACCTGTTCCGCTGAGATCGAAGAATATTGTCAAATATTGTCAAGTCAATCATATACTACTTATTGTAAAATATATAGGTATATGTATACATAATAAGTGCTTGAAATAGGAATAGCAATTTCCTGAGTAACAGAAATTTTGTTCCCTTTTACGGGAAAAGAAACTATCTTTAGTTGTACCAATCAACCTTCTCATTCCGTTGAGGGTATCAAGCATGCGATAATGTTCACTTAATAGAATTAGGATTCGATTAAAACAGATTACTTGACTTCGTGAAATTCTATAAAATAGTGAATAATTGTCCCGTTTTAACTATTTAATTGTAGGATGGAAGAATAGTGTTTCACTTCAGTAAAATTGTTTCCTTCAAAATGTGATTAATTTTCCAATGTCTGTTTTCAATCGGTTCTTTACTGTTAACAGATTGTAAACCCAAACCCAGATAGCGAAGACTATAGCAACAATCATTGGCTGTCGTCCGAAACCGCTCCCAAATATCGTTTGGAGCCCCCGTGTCCCCCCAAACATGTACTACTTCACTATTCCGCATTCCGCCTGATTTGGGATTGGACCATTCTTTTACTGACCGGTTACACGGCTGTCGTTGTTCCCCTGCGTTTGGCAATCATACCTCGCCCGACTTGGGTGGCTGTCAGCAGTGCTCCCCCGTTGGATACGCATCGATCGTTAAGCACATGGATGACTCGACCCAGTGTACCGGAATCGTTAGCCATAGCGGACGCAGTGATTGATATCATATTCTGTTTGGATATTGTGCTCAACTTTCACACCTCATTTGTCGGGGCCGGTGGAGAGGTGGTCGCTGAACCACCGGTGATTCGAGTGAACTATCTGAGTGGTTGGTTCACCTTGGATTTGATATCCTGTCTTCCGTATGAGATTATCAAGTACTGTTGGTCATCGGAAAATCAGGTGAGTGAAAAAAAGCTATGAGGGTTTCCAGAAAGGGAACGGTCGACTTCTTTTTTTTTATTTCAATTGAGTGCTATTGGAACATGCTGCCAGTATGACCATTTCTGGAAAGATGTGGATAATGGTATAGGATATCCGTCTAGTGAACGTATTACGAATTGATTTTGTAAGTCAAAAAGTAACTGATAACTGATAGCTTCTACGCTGAGCAAACAACGTTCAAGTAGTTTGTGAGTTCGTTATCGACCTAAATCAGTGTTAATTTGATCAGGCGGAATGAGAGGCTACCTAAATCCGGGATGATACTCAATCCGTGTGTAATCAGCTTCTCAACAAACGAGTACTCCAAACCACGTTTGATGCCTGTTTCTGAGCTCGGAGCTGAATAATTGCATAGACATAAGTGTGTGTGTGGGGGGGGGGGTGCGTGATGATCAAGTGAAAATGTTTACCAATTTATCACTCGGGAGGTATGGCGATCAAACCCCGGCACCACCGCCGAACTCTAGTTCAGGATGTACTCAAATGCAGCCGTTTGATTGACTGTCTTATTATTATTATTGTTATTAATATTGCTGTTTTCGTTTGTGCGTTTATGTATATATACATATGCAATAAAAGAAATTGAAAAGTAATGAATAAAATGATTCAGCACAAGTTAGTCAGTAATCACTGAACACTGGTTGGATAAAGGCAGGCAAGAGGGAGAGAAATTAACTAACAAGACTGAACACTTTCAATGTATCGGATTTACCCGCTTTTCTCGACACGGGCAGAAAATGTTGCAGTTTGAATGCAGATCATCCATGTCAGTGGGCTGAAATCGATAGAGAGTAAACCACTTTTTATGACTGAATAGGTATACATTCTGCTCTTTCTATCAGATGGTTTAATTGCATTTCCGTTGCTTCATTCTAAACAGCATGCACGGGCGTGCAAAAGTTCCCACATACATGGTTCAATACCACAAAATCCTGTTTCGATTCGCCCTGTTCGAACCGACACAGGTGTAATTCTCTGCAGCATATATTGAACTGGTATTCATGACAAGCTGGGTGGATTAGAGGTTAAAAGCCTAATTTATATAGCACAGTTCAACAGATTCTGATATCTCTCGATTGTTGCATATCATAACACATTTTCTACAAATATATCCAAGTTTATCCGTTCCAGCAGAATCTAGGCACTGGAGACCGAAAAGAAACCACAAATTGGACGATTGATTCGCCTATACGTGGACATGGTACACAGTGTCGGGCACATTAGTTCAGAAAGTTTGGATCGAGAAACACGCAGATGAGTCATCTGTACAATAAAACATCCTAAGTAAATTATAATCTAATTTTATTGCCTTGAAGAACTAAACCGATTAGAACGAAATGTTAAGGAGACCTAAAGAGGCACCACAGAAGTTTTACCTGATAAGCAGATGAGCGAAAACAAATCTACCAATCGAGTTGGAGGAATTTATTAACAGCCATACACAGTAGGTTGGATTTTAATTCTCACTGATCCCAGTTATTTGTGAGTAGTTGTGTGGAATACGGGATACTGAATTGAACTGATTGGACTGAATTGGAATTGGTGGAGGAAGGTTGAGGCCTGGAACTTTTATCAGACTCCGCCTTTGATGGCAAATGAAGGGGAGATGTGATCATAAAAACTAATGCTATTTGATGTTTTCCGATTCCTAACAGACAAGTCCAGAGAGCTGCCCTGTCAGTTGAGTCAAACGCAGCAGGATTATTCTAAAAGACAGTGATGGTTGGTCTAGTGAACGTTCGACTTTGCTCGTGGATCTGACGTAGCCTAAATGTGGTCAACACAGCTCCGGTCGGAGCGCAATCCAGCCTGTTTTTTATGGATGCAACGCTCTCTTATTCCACCGAGCTTGCGAACGATCAAAGGTATCAACACCTTGGATGCAACGGAGATGAAACTACTCACTCGGTGATTAGAATAATCGTGGCGAAGGCCCTTTGTAAAAGAAGATATCGCGTTCGCCAAACTCCATTCGGATGGAATGGATTCAGTAGTTCAGATGGTTTGGAATAATGAAGACAGTTCTCGGACAAGGCCGGCACCACCGCCTTTGAAAAAGGCAGGGTGAGCTGTGACGCTTCAGAAATCCGAGCTGTCGGTAGACGTCTTCATTGGTCGACGTAAAGTCAAGTCAAGTCAAGAAATGCTTTATCTTCTCCGAAGTTACCTAGACTGAATGCGATACGTCTTTGAACAAGACTTCCAGCTTAGATAACACACCGATACTGTATAATGTGTTTTATTAGGTTGTGTGAGTATGTTACTTTCCGATTGCCCTGACAGACGAAGGCAGATAACGTCCAGGTCCTCAATAGGAGCCTTTGCCTAGAAAGTCAAACCTACAAAAAAGCAGGACAGATCTCAGAGTCCGCAGGTCGGTGTCCAGTTCACCGGATCATACGCCCTTTAGACGGAGTCAAACGTCCAAGGTGCCCAATACACCTTGATACCCCATTGAGCCGGTGACCACTGTCAAGGTCATGAGAGCATGGCTGGGTGTGTTTCACACTCCTCTTCTTGTTTGGTTTGANATCAGGGTTTTTAGTCATCTTCACTAGGTGAACTGCCAGTGGGTCACCAACCCGGTGAAAGTCCCGACTATTGGTTTTTATCCTCACAGTTTGGTAAGAAACTACCTCCTCAAAGGGAAGGCAGTGAGTATGGCTTTCTTAGCAGATGTTCTGTGAGGCGCATGGTTATATAGGATCAGGTCACGAAGTGTAAGAGAAGGGCAATCAGTCACAACCCGAGACACCCACCCCAACCATACTGAGGCTTTCGAAGACTAGTTCAGAATCAGGTGCACTCCCTTCAACTATCACACAGATATTGTACTACTTACTTAGCCGTCACACAGCATTAGCGGCATCGGCGATAGATAATCATACGATTATTTCAAATTTTCTGACCTAAATTTGGAATCAGTCGATCGTTGAAGGCTCATTGGGAGCAAATATCCTCGGTCATTCTGATACACAGCAGAGATTTGAAACTGGAACAGCGCATAATCGAGACCTGATTAAGAAATCAACAATAGAATCATTCATTCTCATTAGTTCCATATCCAAAAGAAAAGACAAAACGGCAATGCTTCACGATTTACGCCCAGGACAATTTCTCTTTAGGTCAACATGATGCATGCTCCAGAAAATCAGTTTTTGTGTTAGGCTGTAGCATGGCAACAGGGGATAGTAAAATACATAAATACAGAATAACATAAAAGGTTGGGAGGAGGCTCTAACATTTGATGGCAATTGCTTCAGCAAATCTCAGCAGTTCTGTGTTTCGTGACTTATACATAATTCAAAACGCCACGCTTCGGTCGACCTGGCGTTTTGTCATCAGAATGTGTTGAGCTAAGCCTAATGACGACGTCTTGTAGTCTCGATCGTCCTCTCCATGCTGCGAACTTCACCTCGACTGTAGAATCTGAATTTTGATCCAATTTGGAATAAGTGAAACCAGCCACCCCGTTGTGTCATTGTCAATGTGTTCTGCACAAGTAGGTCACACTACACCTACACTGAAATTGGTAGAGCAAATTGAAGTTGATATACAGAAGCAGCCGTTGTTTTACCTGAGAGAGGGTTGGTATTCTATTTACCCGATAGACGATTAGGTGATCAACTGCACAGTAAGTTCGAGGGTTTGACGATCTCGGCTATTCTCACACGAAAGGTACACCATTCATACAGATTTTGCACAAGAAAATACGAATTAGAAGCATGGTTGATAAGAGATCGGCAAAACGTCTACACGGGCAAAAGTTGGAATCTTATGCGGAGCATGCCGATTAGGCGGTAGAAGTTTTGCGGTAGTGAATAATTCAGGGGTGAAAAAAGCGTGCCATCAGCCGAACAATCAAATTTGCCGAACGAATAAAGATTCAACCACAGGAACTTACAATTTTTCGAATTACTTGGATAGATTGTCAACTGTACGGGATAGTTTCCTAAACTAAACTTGAAGTGATATAAAATGAGAATAAAAACAGAGAAAAAGTGTGTTGTAGGTCGAATTTTTATTGTCATTTACATTGGAGTTTGATCGGTTAGGGACTGGCTTGATTGCCCTGTATGTTACACTGTAATGTTGAAGAAACATCTAAGCGCTTGATGAGAGCCTCAGGAGGCAAATTCGAATCAGCAGTAGAATCTTTGTTTGAGATCACAAAATACTGTCCCCCAGACGGAAGCGTTTGCTATTTCCATTGATTTCGTTGACTCAGTACTCATGAACTTTCGCTCGAACGAGAAACTAAATCAAATTATGTTTACAAACACCATCCTAATCAGACACAAAATAACTATCGCAATACCGTGGTATTTCACAGTCGAACGATTCAATAGAAGGATATTTCCAGATTTGCCCTACATGCACAATCTCCAGCTCCACAACCTCATTTTGTTATAATTCCTTTCCACTGGTTTTCCTTAACAAGGAACTAACCGAGTTGCACACTAATTTACTTTTTTGTTGTTTTACGGTGGGTGTATTTATTCATTATCTGTACTGCAGACTTGAATGTGGCATTGACAAGGGATTGTTACTCATTACGCGGTTTACAGCACGTACAAACGCATTCACAAGAAAGAATGTATTTGTTATTAGTTTTTAGTAGTAGACACAAATACTCACGTACCAGTTCAAATGTCAAACAAACGGGAAGATCGATTTCAATTAGCTACCCGGTTACGAGTGATACATTCATGTTTGAGGTGTGTACGTAAACAAACGAAACAAGAATATTCCAATGATTTATCAATAAATTAAACGTGAGTAATTTTCAAACAACACAACTGGATCGATGGTGGTAAATCAGATTTCACAATGTTGGAAATTTTTATCAACTCCAGTTGGTTTGTGACGCACTGTTTTTGAGTTCATGAAAGTGTTCTGTTTAGAGACTTTGTTCAACACCAATGATGTGCAGATAATCGTAAACACAAGCGGAACAGTGAATCCAACGCGTCGATTTAGCACTGTTGTGTAGTGTTCGGTATCGTCTTTGTAGCAAATTATCGGGACAATGCCAGTTCTGGAGAAATTTGTTTCAATAATCTCCATATGAGAATGATTTATGCCCATTCGTTTTTCCATCAAGTTGGATAAAAAAGCCACTCAGGATCAGGTTGCACTCCGCACACCAAGTATCCTCCTTGTATACTATCCGTGTCGTGCTCTTTGTCGTACAGATCAAAATAAGCAGTATGTGTGCGTGGTAGAAGTGAATCAAGTCAAATACTTTCACATGAGGAAAATGTTAGAAGTTCCACGAAATGAATCCCAAACGAACTGATCCTCAGGTCCTGTACGGAGTTGCATCGCGACCGTTTACCCCAAATGTAGTCATGTTTTAAATGCATTATTGTCGTACTGAATACTTATTCGGCTTCTGTCTACATAAAACTGAAGTAATTATAATTTGTGTATATTTGAAGGGTTAGACTGACACGTGATCACACAGAGCGGTGTGTACTACGTTAACTAATCTTGTGAAAACGTTTGAGTTTTACAAGAGAAGGGAGTTCTCTAGTGGTTCTAAATTCTCAGTAACCAAAAAACCGAATTCACTTGGGAGGAGTATCGGCGCCTCTAGTGCGGTGGGTCTCTAGGACCATGTGTATAGAATGGACTTTCGTCTATAACTGGATTGAAAGAACCAAGTACTGACGTTAAAATGTAATGAATATACTAGAAACATGCACATAGAATAGCAGCGAACGTTTCCCATGACAAAAAGCAGTCCAACCAGCAAAGATCAAGTCATTGATCAGTTTTCTGATGTTATTTTACGTTACATCTTTTCTTCAAGATCAGTTTGAATACAATGAAAAATGACTTACCTAATTTTTCTGGTCCTACTTATACATGATCATACATGCTAGGTAATTTTACCGGAAGTGGTTAAATCGAAACAGACTTTGGCGTTTTTAGTGACCTTTTGATTACTCGTCGTTTACGACCTGCCACTTCACTATTTCTTCCCTCCCTCTACACTCACCTCACCTGCATCCAACTGGGATTGAAGGAACTGCACAGTCTTTTAGATGGATTACGTATTATCCGGTTATTACGCATTGGACGAGCAGCACGACGCATTGATCAATACTTGGAATACGTGTCCACCCTGTTACTACTCATGATCGTGTGTTTTTTCCTCCTGGCTCATTGGTTCGCATGCGCGTGGTACGCGGTCGGGGTGCTCGATTTGGAAAACAAAATCCAGTACGGTTGGATTCCACGCTATTTTAACGACTCACTGAGACCGCAAAATTGGAATGCATTTGTCACATTTGATTCGTGGGACACGAACACCTCCAATGTGGAATCGAACAATGGACACTATGAACAGGAACCGTGGATTCGAAAAACTCGAATGGCCTGGGATGGTCAATCGTTGCATCAGTCCATCAGTCCATCCTCGATGGGCAAACAATTTGGCGTGGGCGAGCGAACTCCACGAGATTTGTCCTTTAGAAAACCGGTACCATTACAAAATGCCATGGACAAATGGTCCGCCTATCTGACTGCGTTGTATTTCAGTCTTTCTTTGTTGACTACCATCGGTTTTGGTAACGTGGCTGCATTCACGGAGGCGGAGAAAATGCTGTCTATCTGTTGCATGTTGATTGGAGGTGAGTAAGCATATGCGCATTGCACTGGTGCACTGGTGCGGGCGAGTGTGCAAAAAAAACAGTGCGAATTTTCGTATCACTGTGGTCATGTGACGAATGAGTCTAAACTGACCGTGTTTGATTACGTTCAAGACGTACAGAAAACGCATCATTATCGTGTTATAGCCCACACGTGATGACAAAATCCCATTCGGTCTATGCAACCGCAATCGGAATAACTAATTATTAATCAAAAATTGTAGGGTGATTATCATTTGTTTTTTCTACCATTGTGTTCTGTAAAATTAGTAAGGTGAATTATGAAGAGAACTTCATGAATTATTTTATTAACGTGGATCGATACTTGAATAGTTACGGTATTGGTGGTGGTCCTAAGTTCCAGACTTAGTTGTAGCTTAAGAAAGGTGTGACTGCTATTATTCGGTTAGTCATAACTACTGTTCATCGTATCAAGATGCGAAGGAAAATTAAAGATTGCTTGAATTGCCAAATCAAAATTAATGAACTTTCTGAGCAACGCCTATTTTCCGTCCTCATCGGTAAATTTTATCGACACATTTACAACAATTTTATTACTATGATGCATCCCGGTGAGAAAAGGCTACAAATCTTAAGTGCAACTAGCTCTAGTTATCCGGATCAACAATATTTGAGTGAATAATTTCACTTTGCTACTACATCAGTTACCGTTATAGTTGAGCAAATTGCAGTTGAATCGAAGGGAAACCCTTCAACGGCACTTCTTTGATACAATCCCAAAGTGATGCTGATTGATTGAATACCGTGAACACAGCACAGGTCGCGTTTGTTTATGAGGTAAAGATCCACCGAAATTCCCCACTATTTCCACATTTTCAAAAACTTCGATTGCACACATTATCTCCTCACGGGTATGCCACGAGCCACTATCATCACTTGTGTGTATTTATGTCATTCAGAAATTCTACCGCGTCTAAGGAAGAATCAATCAAATTAACTCTGACTAACCTGCTATCGTGAACGTCCATGGTTCGGTGAGTGAGTATGAGACAACACAGCTTGATCGTGAACACGCGCGCGCACATACACGCACACCGAACAGATTAGAAGTTGGCCTCGATCACAAACAATTCATTTTTGGACCCGAAAGCGACAAAGCTCCGTGTGAGTGTGTTTAGCCTACCCAAATGCACCCGAGGCTATAGTTTGGGCGTAAATGGGTAATAGGCTTTCAATAGTTTTCTTCAGACAGTTATGGATAGCCCATCTATACGGCTGTTTCATGTTTCTGTACAACTCGCAGCGTTAAGATCAATTTGAGTGCAAAGAAAGACGAATGTTGGAAATTCCCAGTGGTCGCTTCGATTGCTTTGATTACGTGGGCCTTGAATTCGTTTTATACACAAAGAAACTTTGATCGGTTAGGTCGCAGGAATAAATATTGCATTCAAGTGGGTTTGCAATGATGCTCTGTATGTAATTGTACAGAAATAACCGTGCTTAGGAGACGTGTAGTCAGATTAGATTGAATCCCCGGGGACAACATAATGAAACCCCCGTTGAACTCGTTTTGTGTTTAAGTATATGGTGTTATGCATTTGGAGATTATTTCAAACTAATTAATACTTGTATTATATACCAAATAGAACAGTTATATTATCGTCAGTGGAAGTACGAAATGACTATTTATGAAGGAAGATCAAGTTAAAATCCTCCAGAAGCACGAGGAGAAGCATTGCACGATGTTCTTGGAATCAGACGTACTACTTTAGTGAGAAACGAATCTGTCCTTTCGAAAAATTAGTTCTCACTAAAACAGGTGAATGATATGGCCGAATACGCATGTGAATTTCAATACTGAAGCGCCAATCAGAGCTTAGCCATTTGTTTAGATAGTAGGAACAGGAGTGTTTT